AAGATCCCCGTGACGCCAAATCGTAGAGCTGTCACGTGACACCGCACAATCGCTCACTAATTCGGGATTATAATCCTCGCAGTAAGCGCCAACCCCACCCCCCCCCCCCCCACCACCGCCTCCAACGTCACTCTTCCAAAATGCGACTCATCCTCGCCTCTGGAAGTTCTCATCTCATGAATGAGTCGATGATTCATTAAAACAAAAACAAAAACAAAAAAAAAAACGAGAGGGCCGCAGATCTTTGGCGAATCGTCGCCGCTGCCCTGTCCGGCTCCTCGTCTGCGGTTCCGTCGTCTCTCCCCGTCCCGGTCTGCGAGGAGCGAGGGGAGTTGATCACCGGGCGGGTCGTCACGACCCCCCGTGACCTCGCTTTTTAATGCATCAGCAGCCAGCAGAGGCGCGCGCGAGTTGACGGCGGTGAGGATTTCAAACCATCCAGGGGTAACCAGCCCGGCGATCGGTGCCACGACTCCCCCCCCGACCCCGACCCCCTCGCTCCAATCCTCCCCGCAGGGGCCTCAGCGTGAGCCGGTAATCTGCCCGGGCGCCGCACCGGCAGCGGGTAAAAGGGGCCGATCTAATCGCGTTATGCGGGCTGCAATGTCGACCTCTAAAGGGACATCCGCTACAATTGACTCGGCACAGCGCCGGTCCAAGCTTACAATTGTGGTAACGGAGTCCAAAATCCTCGTCCCAATTTCCTCCGTGTCCCCTGCCTCCCCACACCTCCTCCTCCTCCTCATCCACGAGTTGCGTGGCCGCTGTTGGTTGCCGCGTGTGCAGGGAACCGGTGTGGCCGCTGGACCCGAGTTCGAATTCCGTTCACGGGTGACGAATATCCGAACCGATCCTGGGACTCTCCACCACTTAGGGCCCTACTCAGCTTTGAAAAAAAAACACAAAAGTACCTCGTGCGGTGCGTAAACATCAGCATTGGGAAGTGAAAAAGTGGTGGTGGTGGTGGTGGTGCTGGTCGACTCAGCCACCCGTCGTGTGCGATGTTCGCCCCCTTTCGCTGGACATTTCGGGAGCTCTTGGAACGCTCCAGAGATCTGCCTCTTCTCTAAACGACGCGCTTTCTCTTTTCTGGCTCTCAAGAAACCGGGAAAAGTGTCTAAATTCAAAGCACGCGTTCCTTTGTTTGCTCCACTTTTCACTTGAGTGTTTTGTTCCGTTATTGAAGTCACCGATGACCGCGTGCTTCCTGGGCAACGCGTCACAGCAGCTTGGCGAGACGCAGAATTCTGTTCGCAGTTTGCACGGCGCAGCGGATGTGGGGTTAAGCAACCGGGCGCTTTGGGAAAACGTTATGGGAGGAGGTGGTGGTGGTGGTGTTGGTTGTAATGGGTGGATTAGAAGCACGGTGATGGGGTCGCTAACTCGGAGGAGGTGTGCGTGGATGGGTGAGACACGTGCGTCAGGACGGAGGGGGGTAAAGCGACTAATGTGAATAGATCGTGGGCAAGTGAGCGTAGTAGCAGGCGAGGCTTTGCTATTCTGATCAATCCGCTGTGGGATGTGGGCCCCCCCCTCCCCCCGCCGCCCCGGTCTAGGCGAGTCTTGGACGAGCCCCCTAACCCAGCGGTGGTTCTTAACCTTCACTGCAGCCTTTCACTGCACCTCTTGGGCTTCTTCATTGTGAAACGATGTCACGATGATGTCACGATGTCACGATGTCACGATGATGTCATGATGTCACGATGTCACGATGATGTCACGATGTCACGATGTCATGATGTCACGATGATGTCACGATGTCACGATGATGTCACGATGATGTCACGATGTCCGTGCCTGCTTAGGGGTTTGATGGAACAAAGTAAGTTGTAGCTTAACCTGGCCCTCGGGCTTAATTGGTGTTGTCGGTGATTTAACTTTCTCAAAAAAACAATCTGGCCACGTCTCGCCAACAGAAAGGGCATCTCGCAGCCCCAGAAGAAGAGTCACCGGGTTGAAGGTTTGCAGAGCAGTACAGCAAGAAGGTTATGATTGCGCAACACGCCTATGATGTCGTAATCAGCAGCATGACCAACATGGTCTATCCACCGTTCGATGAAGATGATGTCAATTGCAATTTGTTTTAAGAAGATGAACGACTGCTCCAAGCTGTGCCCCATCAGAGGCGCCTTCCCGTAGACAGCGGCGAGCGCGGGGCAATTGCAGGGCTGCGCCTTCGCCTCTACAGGAATTTTGAGTTGGGTGGCGGTGGGGCTGGGGGGTTGTTGACTGCGATGGGGTTCCAGGGAGGATCAGTGCGCGGTCCCCATGGCTGAGGGGTGATTTACAAAAAGTGGTGCCGAGTGGAACCTCTAAAAGTCCTCGCGACGTCATCAATCTCAAGGGGGGGGATGGGGGGTTGGGCCATTGTGGGCAACTCCGATCCAACAAAAACTGTGAATTGCAATTTACCTACAAAGCCACACGCACACACACATGCAGACACACACGCACACACACATGCAGACACACACGCACACACACATGCAGACACACGCACACACACATGCAGACACACGCACACACACATGCAAACACACACACGTACACACACACACACGAGCACACACACACGAGCACACACACACATGCAGACACACGGACACACACATACGCGTACACACACACACATGCAGACACAGACGTACACATACGTGCACACACACACGAACACACACGTGAAAAGACAGACGCACACACACGAACACAGACACACGAACACACGCACACACGTACACACCCACGCACCCACGTACACACACGTACACACACACACGAAAAGACACGCACACACACGCACACATACGCAGACACACACACACACACGCACACATACGCAGACACACACACACGTACACACACACGCACCCACGTACACACACGTACACACACACACGAAAAGACACGCACACACACGCACACATACGCACACACACGCACACATACGCAGACACACACACACGTACACACACGCACCCACGTACACACACGTACACACACACACGAAAAGACACGCACACACACGCACACATACGCAGACACACACACACGCACACATACGCACACACACGCACACATACGTACACACACGCGCGCACATACGTACACACACACACACGTACACACACACACATACGCACACATACGCACACATACGTACACACACACACACGTACACACACACACGCACACACGTACACACACGCACGCACATATACGTACACACACACACGAAAAGACGCACGCACACGTGAGAACCCCCCAACACCACAAGCCTCCCCAACCACCACCACCACCACCCAGCGCCCAGCACATCAGCGGCAATGATGATGATGAGAGTCCTCCTCCTCCTCCTCCACTGTCCCCTCCTGACCTCCTCTTTCCCAGGCCTCGCCACAGAAGCGGGACAATGCATCTCAATGGGCGCCTCTCGCCGGGGCTAAATAAAGGACATCAATCAGCTGGACCGCCCTTTGACCCCCACCACACCACCACCCCCCAGCCCCCACCCCCCCAGCCCCCACCCCACCACCCACCACCCCCCCCAGCCCCCACCCCCCAGCCCCCACCACCCCCCCCCCCCACAAGGGACGCGGGGCGCCCCGCGCCTCTTCGCCCGTCGCCGTTGTCAAGGGGAGCGAAGTCGCTCGCAGATTCCCCGTGGCTGAGGGTCGTCGCGATGTGAAGGATATCGTGACGATGTAGTCACGATATCGTCACGATGTAGTCACGATATCGTCACGATGTAGTCACGATATCGTCACGATATCGTGACCATGCGGCGATATCGTGACGATATCGTGACGACATCGTGACGGTGCGGCGATATCGTGACGATATCGTGACGATATCGTGACCATGCGGCGATATCGTGACGATATCGTGACGACATCGTGACGGTGCGGCGATATCGTGACAATGCCGTGACGATATCGTGGCGACATCGTGACGATATCGTCACGACACAGTCACGATGTGGTGGACCGTGCGCACGGCGTCAAAGCTGCTCCGAGCGAGCGACTGGCGGTGACGCCTCCAACACCACCACCACCATCACCACCACCATCACTACCACCACCACTGTGTTCAGCCACCACCACCACCGTGTTCAACCACCACCACAACCACCACCACCACCACCGTGTTCAACCACCACCACCACCACAACCACCACCACCACCACCGTGTTCAACCACCACCACCACCACAACCACCACCACCACCACCGTGTTCAACCACCACCACCACCACAACCACCACCACCACCACCGTGTTCAACCACCACCACCACCACAACCACCAACACCACCACACTGTGTTCAACCACCACCACTACCACCACCACTGTGTTCAGCCACCACCACCACCGTGTTCAACCACCACCACCACCACAACCACCAACACCACCACCACAACCACCACCACCACCACCGTGTTCAACCACCACCACCACCACCACCACCACAACCACCACCACCACCACCACCACTGTGTTCAACCACCACCACTGTGTTCAACCTTAACACCACATTCGTTCATGAAAGTTAAAGGCGGTGTAGTACTATAGTAATGGAGCAAGTGCACAATCACTGAACCGCAATTGACAGCTTGAAAGCATTTAGCGCGTGGCCCTTGAAAGTGCGTGGCACAAGTCGCCATACGTAGCGACTTGTGCCACGAGGATAAGGGGCCGTCCATAAATGACGTCACGCGATTGTGGATGAGTTTTGCCCCCCCCCCCCCCGTCACACGGCGTCACAAAAAGTCAGACCCCCCTCAAATATGACGTGACAAAGCTCTGCCCGCCCCCCCACCCAAAAAGAACATGCTTCAAATCGCTTTAAACTATTGTCATTGTAGTGCGTAGTTAATGTGGCGCTGCACTCTGATGTTGTAGGAGATGACATTTATAAAAAAAGTCTATTTAATTAAGTAGAACGTGTTGTCTATATTTATTTAAAGTTGATGTGACGTCACATTTCTCAACCCCCCCCCCCCAGGTGCGTGACGTCATTCATCGACGGCCCCCTAATCCAGCACCGCCTGAAGGGCACCCGGATCGTGACCGCCGTCCACGCAGTTCCAGGCAGAGACACCGCCGTAGAGCACGGTGCAGAGACGCCGTGGGGAGGTGTGAGTCGGGGTGGTGTGAGTCGGGGTGGGTGTGAGTCGGGGTGGGTGTGTGTCGGGGTGGGTGTGAGTCGGGGTGGGTGTGAGTCTGGGGTGTGAGTCGGGGGGTGTGAGTCGGGGTGGGTGTGAGTCAGGGGGGTGTGAGTCGGGGGGGTGTGAGTCGGGGGGGTGTGAGTCGGGGTGGGTGTGAGTCGGGGTGGGTGTGAGTCGGGGTGGGTGTGAGTCGGGGGAGGTGTGAGTCGAGGGGGATGTGAGTCGAGGGGGGTGTGAGTCGGGGTGGGTGTGAGTCGGGGTGGGTGTGAGTCGGGGGGGTGTGAGTCGGGGTGGGTGAGTCGGGGTGGTGTGAGTCGGGGTGGGTGTGAGTCGGGGGGGTGTGAGTCGGGGGGTGTGAGTCGGGGGGGTGTGAGTCGGGGTGGGTGTGAGTCGGGGGGGTGTGAGTCGGGTGGGTGTGAGTCGGGCTGGGTGTGAGTCGGGGAGGGTGTGAGTCGGGGTGGGTGTGAGTCGGGGGAGGTGTGAGTCGGGGTGGGTGTGAGTCGGGGGGGTGTGAGTCGGGGTGGGGTGAGTCGGGGGGTGTGAGTCGGGGGGGGGCCATGCCGACCGTAGCGGCTCTGGTTGGCGACTCTGCCACCCCCAGCGGCTGAGGTTTCGCTCCCCGAACCACCGCTCGCACGGGGGATGTGGGTCCCGTTTGGTCTCTTGCAGAACTCCACGTGGCGGCGACAATCGTCATCATCGTCGTCATCATCATGGTCATCATCATCGTCATCATCGCTGTCATCGTCATCATCGTGGTCATCATCATCGTCGTCATCGTCATCATCATCGTCATTGTTGTCATCATCATCATCATCGTCATCGTCGTCATCATAATCATCGTCGTCATCGTCATCATTGTTGTCATCGTCGTCATCATCATCGTCATCATCGTCATCAACGTCGTCATCATCATCGTCGCTATCATCGTCGTCGTCATCGTCGTCATCATCATCATCGTCGCTCGCTCGCCCAATCAGCTCGCCACAGCCGCGCGTGCGGCTCCGTTGGTTCTCACCCCACGAGTCTCTCGGATTTTGTAGGAGGATCGGGTGGGGGGCAGGGGACGAGTTCGTGGATAGTTTCAGCTGAAATAAAAGTTGTTACCCTCTCTGGCAAACAAAACAGGCGGTGTTGAGGTGCGAAGACACCCAACAGAAACGTCGCGATTTATTTTACTTTATACCTACTACGTGACTTTACCGAAAAAACCAAAGAGTATTTATTCCTGCGGTCACGAAAGCTTCAAATCTACGCAAACAAAACACGCTCTGATAACTATACGTGGCGTTGTCTTTGAAACGGATTGTTCCACACCGCAGACAGTCCTCTCTCGGGCCTCGTCTCGAACAGCGTGAGACCAGAGGGGCGCTCAAAGGCGAACAGCACCAAGACAATGCCACCATCAGGGGACATTGAGAGCTCGAGGGGCGAGCAGCTACTGTACATAATGGAATCTTTCTTGCCGCTATCAAAAAGCAAGAATAAATGTTTCCCCTTCTGCCAATGAAACAGTTGTGGTGTTAAGGTGTGAGAACACCACATTTTGCAAGGAATCGCGTCTTCATTGACCACACGGACGAGTGTTGAACGTGCAAAGACAAATATCCGCTGGTAATATACGAAGCATTGTCTTTGAAACTGATTGGGTCAGTTTCAAAGACAATCAGTTTCAAAGCGAATCAGTTTCAAAGTCAATCAGTTTCAAAGATAAATCAGTTTCAAAGGGAACGCTTCATGTATTAGCATGTTGACAACAAATAGCGTGTGTGGTTAGTGCAGTTCGTGATTCCTTGCTAAAGGGTTCTGTTTGGTATTGTCACATCTCAACAAAACTGTTTCATTGGCGACAAAGGTCCCGTGAAGTTTCAGTTCAGTTTCAGACGTAACACATCGCAGAAAGATAAATACACGAATAATCTAAATTAGCACATTAAAAAAGGTAAATATCATGTAATATCAAGCATAGCATTTATCGTTTAAAAGTTTTAGCCAATTAAGGAATACAAACGTGCAAGATTAGGCGTAAAACACACCGTTTCCCAGGAGATACTAAATTTAAATCTCCGATAATCGTAAAAAAATGTATAAAATGTAACAGCGCCATCATTCAACAACGGCTCTGCACCGAACTAAAAGCACGGCTTTTAGTTCGGTGCGAAGTTGCAGCGGTCGTGGCCTCGGGGGGCATTCGTCAGTGATGTAGACCAGCGGGAACGCCGTCTCCTGTGCCACTCAGTCCGTCGGTGGTTCTTCATCTTCCTCCTCTTCTTCTTCCTCTTCCTCCTCTTCCTCTTCTTCTTATTCTTCTTCTTCTTCTTTTTCTTCTTCTTCTTATTCTTTTTCTTCTTCTTATTCTTCTTCTTCCTCTTCTTCCTCTTCTTCTTCTTCCTCTTCTTCTTCTTCTTCTTCTTCTTCTTCTTCTTCTTCTTCTTCTTCTTCTTCTTCTTCTTCTTCTTCTTCTTCTTCTTCTTCTTCTTCTTCTTCTTCTTCTTCTTCTTCTTCTTCTTCTTCTTCTTCTTCTTCTTCTTCTTCTTATTCTTCCTCTTCTTCTTCTTCCTCTTCCTCTTCTTCTTCTTCTTCCTCTTCTTCTTCTCTTCTTCTTCTTCTTCTTCTTCTTCTTCTTCTTCTTCTTCTTCTTCTTCTTCTTCTTCTTCTTCTTCTTCTTCTTCTTCTTCTTCTTCTTCTTCTTCTTCTTCTTCTTCCTCTTCTTCTTCTTCTTCTTTCTCTTCTTCTTCTTCTTCACGTGGGGGCGCCCCCTGGGGGGTGGTGCGAGATGCCCTCTGGGGGGGAGCGGCGAGACGTGGCAAGATTTTCTTTCCTTCGAAGGCAAATCATCGAAAACACAAATTTAGCGAGCGACGCGTTGAGTAGCAACTGACTTTGCAACTATTAACATCGCAATCTTTTTGTTTAACGATTGATAACCAAAGGGGTGCAAATTTTCAGTCCGGGGTTAATAACCACTGACTTAACGGAACACGGCAGAGATTCTTTAGAGACGGGAGTGCAACACCTCCAGTAACACCAATGGGAGTCAGTCGCACCGAGACAGCCGATGTACAGCAGTCAGTCGTACAGGAAAGTCGCCGGGACGGGGAGGGGGGGTGGTGTCACCATCCACAAGTCTCGCTACAAACGAGACACCCACCCTAATCTTCATGGGGTCCCCGTGGTTTTTCTTTGGCGTAGATTTTAGCTGCGTTGTGTTTTTTGTTTGTTTGCCCCGTCAACCCAAGTCACGGTGGCCGACGCTTGCCCGCTCCCGCCTACGGGACCCCTTCCTGAGCTGCCTTTGTCAAAGAGTAAACGTTTTCAGCACCCCCCCCCCCCCCCCACCACGTCCCCCAGACCTTCGATAATACCGCTCTTGGCAATGTCTCCATCGATACAGAGTCCCGGCGAACGTCTGCTGCTGCTGCTGTATATGTGGGTGGGTGGGTGGGTGCGTAGTTATCTCGGTGATGTGAGAAATCTCTCATCGGGGAAATGTTCGTATTTTATTAGCACTCGATGGGGAGCGGCGGTGTAGCGATTCGCGCGCTGAGCTACGAAACCGGCGACCCGGGTTCGATTCCCGCTCAAGGCCAACACCAGTGACGATTATCTGAACCAGTCCTAAAAATGAGTTGCTGGTGCGGTGTGTAAACTTCGCCAGTGATGATGTGTGTACAGACGCTGTGTGTGGAGTCGCTGTGTACAGAGTCGCTGTGTACAGAGTCGCTGTGTGCAGAGTCGCTGTGTACAGAGACGCTGTGTACAGAGACGCTGTGTACAGAGTCACTGTGTACAGAGTCGCTGTGTACAGAGTCGCTGTGTACAGAGACGCTGTGAACAGAGTCGCTGTGTACAGAGTCGCTGTGTACAGAGTCGCTGTGTACAGAGACGCTGTGTACAGAGACGCTGTGTACAGAGTCGCTGTGTGTGGAGTCGCTGTGTACAGAGTCGCTGTGTACAGAGACGCTGTGTACAGAGACGCTGTGTACAGAGTCGCTGTGTGCAGAGTCGCTGTGTGTGGAGTCGCTGTGTACAGAGTCGCTGTGTACAGAGTCGCTGTGTACAGAGACGCTGTGTACAGAGTCGCTGTGTACAGAGTCGCTGTGTACAGAGTCGCTGTGTACAGAGTCGCTGTGTACAGAGTCGCTGTGTGCACAGACGCTGTGTACAGAGACGCTGTGTGTGGAGTCGCTGTGTACAGAGTCGCTGTGTACAGAGACGCTGTGTACAGAGACGCTGTGTACAGAGTCGCTGTGTACAGAGACGCTGTGTACAGAGTCGCTGTGTACAGAGACGCTGTGTGTGGAGTCGCTGTGTACAGAGTCGCTGTGTGCAGAGTCGCTGTGTACAGAGACGCTGTGTACAGAGTCGCTGTGTACAGAGTCACTGTGTACAGAGACGCTGTGTACAGAGTCGCTGTGTACAGAGTCGCTGTGTACAGAGTCGCTGTGTAGAGAGACGCTGTGTGTGGAGTCGCTGTGTACAGAGTCGCTGTGTACAGAGTCGCTGTGTAGAGAGACGCTGTGTACAGAGATGCTGTGTGTGGAGTTGCTGTGTACAGAGTCGCTGTGTACAGAGTCGCTGTGTGCAGAGTCGCTGTGTACAGAGTCGCTGTGTGCACAGACGCTGTGTACAGAGTCGCTGTGTACAGAGTCGCTGTGTGCAGAGTCGCTGTGTACAGAGTCGCTGTGTGCACAGACGCTGTGTACAGAGTCGCTGTGTACAGAGACGCTGTGTGTGGAGTCGCTGTGTACAGAGTCGCTGTGTACAGAGTCGCTGTGTACAGAGACGCTGTGTGTGGAGTCGCTGTGTACAGAGTCGCTGTGTGTAGAGACGCTGTGTACAGAGTCGCTGTGTGTAGAGACGCTGTGTGTGGAGTCGCTGTGTACAGAGTCGCTGTGTGCAGAGTCGCTGTGTGCAGAGTCGCTGTGTGCAGAGTCGCTGTGTACAGAGTCGCTCTGTGTGGAGTCGCTGTGTACAGAGACGCTGTGTACAGAGTCGCTGTGTACAGAGTCGCTGTGTACAGAGTCGCTGTGTACAGAGACGCTGTGTGTGGAGTCGCTGTGTACAGAGTCGCTGTGTACAGAGTCGCTGTGTAGAGAGACGCTGTGTACAGAGACGCTGTGTGTGGAGTTGCTGTGTACAGAGTCGCTGTGTACAGAGTCGCTGTGTGCAGAGTCGCTGTGTACAGAGACGCTGTGTGTGGAGTCGCTGTGTACAGAGTCGCTGTGTGTAGAGACGCTGTGTGTGGAGTCGCTGTGTACAGAGTCGCTGTGTACAGAGTCGCTGTGTACAGAGTCGCTGTGTGCAGAGTCGCTGTGTACAGAGTCGCTGTGTGCACAGACGCTGTGTACAGAGTCGCTGTGTACAGAGACGCTGTGTGTGGAGTCGCTGTGTACAGAGTCGCTGTGTACAGAGTCGCTGTGTACAGAGACGCTGTGTGTGGAGTCGCTGTGTACAGAGACGCTGTGTGTGGAGTCGCTGTGTACAGAGTCGCTGTGTGTAGAGACGCTGTGTACAGAGTCGCTGTGTGTAGAGACGCTGTGTACAGAGTCGCTGTGTGTAGAGACGCTGTGTGTGGAGTCGCTGTGTACAGAGTCGCTGTGTACAGAGTCGCTGTGTACAGAGACGCTGTGTGTGGAGTCGCTGTGTACAGAGTCGCTGTGTGTAGAGACGCTGTGTGTGGAGTCGCTGTGTACAGAGTCGCTGTGTACAGACACGCTGTGTGTGGAGTCGCTGTGTACAGAGACGCTGTGTGCAGGATAAGTGAGGTGCAGAAGAGATACGAGCGGGGAGAAGTCGGGTAAATGTGACCATACAGAGAGCTTTAGGAGAGCCTACAACTGGCGCAGGGACAGGTGAATAAAGTGTCAAGGCACTGCACGTGGGGAGCGGTGGTGCAGCGGTTAGCGCTACGCTACGCTACGAACCTGGCGACCCGGGTTCGAATCACGCTCACGGCCAAAACCAGTGACGATTATCTGAACCGGTCCTGGGTCGACTCAGCCTCAAATGAGTACCTGGTGCGATGTGTAAACATCGTCGCTAGGGAGACAAAGGCGGCCGGGCGTGGTGCTGGCCACCCACCCCCTCGTGTGCCGTACCGGCCTTTAAAGGTACTCGCAAACAGCACTTGCCCCTACAGTCTGTTAAGGCTACACGGGGGATCTTTGTCTTTGTGAGATCAGATTTGTGCCACCAGACAGCGGTTTTTGGGTTTCGTCTTAGAATCCGGAGCGTCTTAGAATCTTGCGGGGATCGATTTCTCACTCGATATTCACTGGGAACGCCGCTGCTAGGCTGGCTTGGAGCTTCTTGGCGTCAGGCACCAGCACTGCAGAAGACGGCGACGGTTCTCGTGATTCTATATCATTGCAATGTGGTAACGCGTGTGTTAGTTCATCCACATGTCACGTCTGGTGGTGGTGGTGGTGAGGTCAGGGGCCGTCCATACATGACGTCACGCGATTTTGGACGATTTTTGACCCCTCCCCCCCTCCATCGTCACATGACGTCACAAAAAGTCAGACCCCCCCCTCAAGTATGACGTCACAAAGCTCTGCCCCCCCCCCCAAAAAAAAATAAAACACGCTTCACAAATCGCTTTAAACTATTGTCATTGTAGTGCGTATTTAATGTGGCGCTGCACTCTGATGTTGTAGGAGAAAACATTTATTAAAATGTCAATTCAATTAAGTAGAACGTGTTGTCTGTGTTTATTTAAAGTTGCGGTATTTTGAGGTGACGTCACATCTCTCAACCCCGCCCCACCCCCACCCCAGGTGCGTGACGTCATTTATGGACCGCCCCTACAGCGTGGTTTCCCCCACCTCTTCGAAAGCGTTCTGGCTCAGCACGGAAGAGTAGGCCAAGATTCCCACGGAGGGGAGGGGGGGGGGTGGGTGGGTTGGACGCAGTTCCTCTCGTCTGAGGGCCTTCCGCCAGCAGTGCCTTTAGAACGCAGTTGCAGCGCTGCGCCTCCGTGCGTCAATTTACATCCCAGTCGAAGGATGCGCGCCCCGCAAAGAGCACCACCTCACGACCCTGCCGGGAGAGCCAGACGGGTGGAGCCCCGTGACGAGCTCCACCGTGGCGGCGGCGTGTTCTGAGACGTCCGTGGCGATCTCTGCGCGATCCACCTACCCCACCTACCCCTCCCCACCCCCCCCCGCCGCCGCCAGCAATCGTCGCGAGTCTATCTGCGGGGTGCTTTAATGTGGCTGAATGAGTTTCACCCCCTCCCTCGTCCCTCCTCGTCCCTCCCCTCCCTCCCCTCTCTCCCTCCCCTCCTTCCATTCATCCCCTCCCTCCCCCTCGTCCCTTCCCTCCCTCCCCTCCCTCCCTCCCTCCATGCCTCTCCTCCCTCCCTCCATTCATCCCCTCCCTCCCCTCCCTCCCTCCCTCCCTCCCCTCCCTCCCTCCCTCCCTCCCTCCCTTCATGCCTCTCTTCCCCCTCGTTCCTCCCCTTTCTCCCCTTCCTCCCTCCCCTCCCTCCCTCCCTCCATGCCTCTCCTCCCTCCCTCCATTCATCCCCTCCCTCCCTCCCTCCCCTCCCTCCCTCCCCTCCCTCCCTCCCTTCATGCCTCTCCTCCCCCTCGTTCCTCCCCTTTCTCCCCTTCCTCCCCTCCCTCCTTCCCTCCCTCCCGCCCTCCATGCCTCTCCTCCCTCCATGCCTCTCCTCCCTCCATGCCTCCCTCCATGCCTCCCCTCCTCCCCTCCTTCCATTCATCCCCTCCCCCCCCTCCCCTCCCTCCCGTCCCGCTCTGCTGGCTCCACTATGACGATGCAGACGTGGTTACAGAACGCTCAGCGACACGCGATTAGTGGCCGCCTTCCAGCTGCCTCGAGCGAGTTGAGCGGTGGGCGCAGTGGCTAGCGGCGCCGCGCCACCAATTAACCCGGCGTCGCGCCCCTGGTTCGATCCCCGCTCCAGGCCCCCGGCAGCAGTGACGATTCCCTGTGAGCCGGTTCTGAAGCCGGGGAGACAAAGGCGGCCGGGCGTGGTGCTGGCCACCCACGCCTTCGGTGCGCCGTGCCGGCCCTTCATAGGTGCCGCTCGCTAACAGCGCTTGCCCCAGCAGCCTGCCACAGGCTACACGGGGGATCTACGTCTGTAGCGCGGTGGATGAGTAACAGAGGGATGGAATTTGAGAGGCGAGGCGTCGTTCCCAATGCGCTCGAGTTGACGTGGAGGCATGTCAGCACGCGCTCTGCGATATTCGCACGGATGAGTTCCTGGTCTCGCTATAGACCACGCGGTCAGGGGGGTGACTTTGGTGTGGTGGGGTGGATCACATGAGAACTTCTATCATTGTAATTGAGCGATTTTATTGAATATAATCTTGCGTGAGTTGTGAGAAACCTCATACATTCGAGAAAACTGAAATAAATTGTCATCGCTGATGGGAGAATGATTCGTGATTTGAGAAATATCTGATAGGGGAAATGTTATTTTCTATTAGAGCACTCGGTGTGTTGGGACATCTCTGTGGCTTGAGACATTTTGTTTGGGTTGGAAAATCTCGCTGATTTCGGGAAATCTCTATGATTTAAGCAACATCAGTGAGTCACACCAAAGCGGTTAATTTTTGGTTAGATCGCTTAAATAAATAAACGTCTTGTTAACCCGCAACCACCCGACACAGCCAATTAGCAAGGTTTGTCACGCAAACAAAACCTCCTAATTAGTGACTAGTCCAGCACACACCGCTGCGTTGGAGAGTGAACCCATGACGTTGACAATGTGAGCACAAATTGGGTTGCCTGTATACAGCGAGTAAAATAATAATTGGGATATATTTGGAACTTGCGCGGATTTTCCTGTCCCTCCCCCCGCCCCCCACGATTGTTTACAGACTGGGAATAGAGCGGAGCGTGGGAGCTAAGCCAACAGTGTGGGAGGGACGGAGGAAAGACGAAGGCGATAAGTGGTGGTGGTGATGGTGGAGGAGGAGGAGGAAGATGCAGAATCATCGTCAGCATCAGCATCACCAGATTAATTCGTAGCATCATCATTGTCATCATCATCAGCATCACCATAGTAATCAGCAGCATCATCATTGTCATCATCGTGAGCAGTGCAATCATCAGCAGCATCATCAGCATCACCATAGTAATCAGCAGCAGCATCATCATTGTCATCATCGTGAGCAGTGCAATCATCAGCAGCATCATCAGCATCACAATAGTAATTAGCATCATCATTGTCATCATCGTGAGCAGTGCAATCATCAGCCGCATCATCAGCTTCACCATAGTAATCAGCAGCATCATCATTGTCATCATCGTGAGCAGTGCAATCATCAGCAGCATCATCAGCATCACCATAGTAATCAGCAGCATCATCATCGTCATCATCGTGAACAGTGCAATCATCAGCAGCATCATCAGTATCACAACAGTAATTAGCATCATCATCGTCATCATCGTGAACAGTGCAATCATCAGCAGCATCATCAGCATCATCATAGTAATCAGCATCGTCATCATCGTGAGCAGTGCAACCACAATCACCATCATCAACAGACACAGCAGACACAGCAGACACAGCTGACACAGCAGACAGCTGACACAGCAGACACAGCAGACATAGCTGACACAGCAGACACAGCTGACACAGCTGACACAGCAGATACAGCAGACACAGCAGACATACCTGACACAGCTAACACAGCAGAGACAGCTGACACAGCAGACACAGCTGACACAGCTGACACAGCTAACACAGCAGACACAGCTGACACAGCAGACATAGCTGACACAGCTAACACAGCAGACACAGCAGACACAGCTGACACAGCTAACACAGCAGACACAGCTGACACAGCTGACACAGCAGACACAGCTGACACAGCTGACACAGCTGACACAGCAGACACAGCTAACACAGCAGACACAGCTGACACAGCTGACACAGCAGACACAGCAGACACAGCTGACACAGCTGATACAGCAGACACAGCAGACACAGCTGACACAGCTGACACAGCTGACAGCTGACACAGTTGACACAGCAGACACAGCTGACACAGCAGACACAGCTGACACAGCTGACACAGCAGACACAGCTGACACAGCAGACACAGCAGACACAGCTGACACAGCAGACACAACAGACACAGCTGACACAGCAGACACAGCTGACACAGCTGACACAGCTGACAGCTGACACAGCTGACAGCTGACACAGCTGACAGCTGACACAGCAGACACAGCTGACACAGCAGACACAACAGACACAGCTGACACAGCAGACACAGCTGATACAGCTGACACAGCTGACACAGCTGACACAGCAGACAGCTGACACAGCAGACACAGCTGACGCAGCAGACACAGCTGACGCAGCTGACGCAGCTGACACAGCAGACACAGCTGACACAGCAGACACAGCTGATACAGCTGACACAGCTGACACAGCTGACACAGCTGACACAGCTGACACAGCTGATACAGCTGACACAGCTGATACAGCTGATACAGCTGATACAGCTGACACAGCTGATACAGCTGACACAGCAGACAGCATCTGGCGACAGTGGCGACACTCGTGCCTCGCAGAAAGAAGCCCCTGGGTTCAAATTCCGACGAAGAAACATCACACAGAGACACACACAGACACACACACACTAACACCCACACTCACACACTAACACACACAAAGCAAAACAAAGATCCCCCATATAGCCTGTAACAGACTGTAGGGGCAAGTGCTGTTAGCGAGCACCTATGAAGGCCGGAACGGTACATGAGGGGGTGGGTGGCCAGCACCACGCCCGACCGCCTTTGTCTCCCTAGTGGCGATATTTACACACCGCACCAGGTACTCATTTGAGGCTGAGTCGACCTAGGGGAGGCCCGGGACCGGTTCAGATAATCGTCACTGGTGTTGGCCGTGAGCGGGAATCGAACCCGGGTCGCCAGGTTCATAGCGCAGTGCGCTAACCGCTACACTATCGCTCCCCACACTAACACACACACACACTAACACACACACACACACTAACACACACACTCACACACTAACACACACACTCACACACTCACACACACACTCACACACTAACACACAACAACACAACAACCGCCATTCGCCACTAAGTGGCGGTGACGTCACCACGACGCTTGTGCCAGGCCATGTGCACCTTGAGGCCACGTGAAGTGTCGAACGCCCGCTGGCAGGAGGTCACGGGGCAGACCCAGGTGCCACGGGTCGACTGACTGAGATGACTGGCTGATGCACCACCTGTGCCCCCTACTGTGACAACCTGCTGTGCTTTAGCCACCCGGCGCTACGCTCGTTGTTGTGAGCGTCGCTCCTCCCCCCTCCGTTGTTGTTGGAGGGCGACTGCCTCCAACTGCCCAGTAGCGTCCTTCACGAGCCTCCTCCACAGAGGCCGATCTTGACACCGCTGGTACCAGTCATCGGCAAGTCCACTCAGCTCCACGTCCTCCTGTACCACATCACTCCATCTCTTCCCTAGCCCGTGCCGCGCCCATTTAGCCCCCTCGATCCGGCCGAACAAAAGCTGTTTCGGCATGTGGTGACTGGGCATGTGGGTTACATGACCCAGCCAACGCAGCCTTGCCTGACAGAGGAGCTCACCGATGGGACCATGCCCAGATCTTTCAAGGATTTGTGAGCTCCTCACATAATCCAACCTGGTTAAACCCAGGATGGATCGTAGGCAGGCCAGCTTAAATGTTTCTAACCGGCGAAGATGTTCCATTAGGGGGGTCCACGTTTCGCATGCGTAGAGAAGGGAGGGAATGACCGTGGCCGAGAAGACCTGAAGCTTAGTGCGGAGCGACAGACAAGGTAGCTTCCACACAGCGTTACGCAACCGATGAGAAGATATTGCCGCTCGACTGATTCGGAGTGAGACCTCTGCTGTTAAACTGGAACCGGTCATAAGGTATGGGAAACTCTCCACTCTCTCCACAACTGCCCATCACCGATTGGGAGTTGTGGGGGTGGAGTGTCCGATGGTACAAAATACCCAGGCAGGTGCTTAGTTTTGGTGGGGCTGATGGTAAGGCCCATCTCTTAGTAGCACGCTCCAGTCTCAGCAGCAGCATCTCCAACTCTTCCTCTGAATGAGCAGCTATTACCAAATTACTGACATACATAACGTGGTTGAGCAATAGGGAGCCATCCCTTGACCGCACCCGGGCATCGATCAGCCTCCCATTATATCTGTACCATATGGAGATTCCCCTGGTACAGCAATTGAAGGCTTCACGAACTTCGTGGTCAAAATAGATGTT